TGAGAACAAATTAACAACTCCATAATCATAAGAATATGTCTTTAATGTATGATCATGATTTTTGTTTTGAGCAAAAAATGATAATTAGTGCTATTCATAAATAGTGACGGAGCTACATAGTGTCTACTGTTCGCATAACGCGCTATCAGATTGCTTATTTATGAATATTTTTACATGTATATATTACTTAGGGTACAAATGAACTAATAAGTTAAATATATTGAGACACTACTAGGACATAATCCTGAATCAGTTGCTCATGAATGGTACAATGTGAATGAATTGCCCTTGTCATATATGGCTGAAGAAGCAGACTCTTCAAAAGATTCAGGCGCACTTGAAGAAGTAGACCTTTCAGAAGAATATTCAAAGCCCATTTGAGCGCACCCAGCTTAAAACTGAAGGAGAGTGATGGTTACAGTTCGATTGATGCCTTACTGTGTTTCCATTCAAATAATTTACTGACAATAATCAATGTTAATGTTGAACAGATCTTTTGCCACAATTATGCGCGTGCTAATGAAATTTCCAAGTGGCCGGAGAAAATCCACGAGTAAATTTGCTTACTAGTTAGAGATAATTCTAAACACAAATCCTATTCAAACTATTCAGACAGTCATCTATTATCATGGAATATTAGAGAGCAAGTTACAAGTCTACGTTATTGTAAAAAAATTATGCACCACTTGGAAATTTTTATCCTGTCTAACGTTACAAGTTTGGTTAAGGATAAGATCAAACTCAGCTTTTTTACCGCATGCTCGATCTCAACGCAGCCCACTCTTAACATTCAAACGACTTTAATAAAAAGAGAGAACATAATTTAACTTTTGAGTACAACTACGTCTAGCCCTTATATATTTTTGGAGCCACTTGATAAAGATATAAGTACAAATCCATCAATATTAATTCCCTTAATATGACATTTTAGACCTATTTGTTTATTTTTATTTCAGAAATATAGTTTAACGCGTCGATCTTAATCATTACGAGTGATGCTAGCAAAATTAGGACCATACTATATATAGTTTTTAGTTTATTCCCCAAAGTATCAGTATCATCTCAAATTTAATCATTCACAGCGACTAATTAAACTAAACAAGCAGGTAGTGCGTACACACGTACATAACAAAATGTGGATGATCGTCTTAGCTCCAATCTCATGTTTTCATAGTATCAATTTCTATCTTCCAAGGCGCGTGATTTAATTAACCGCAAATAGAAAAACTGTCAAATATTTTTCTCTTCACAGCTTTCTATATTTTTAGGTTGCTAATTAAAAGCACTAAATAATCGGAATTAATCACCCTATCATGAAAAGCATATCAGGCTATACATACTAGCGCCGAAAATATCACAACTCAAAACGCTTTAACGAAACGGATGCCTAGCTTTCATTTATTAGTTCTTCCATAATGCTAATTTACACTTGCAATGATCAGTAACGCTAGCTGTGCACACGTTAAAAACAATTTCTTTTAAAAAGAGAAAGAAAAAAAATTCCTATAGAAGACCTACAAACTTCTTCTTCAAAAACCTTGACGTTCCCATCACTTGATCCAAATCCAAATCCCTCTTCCTCTTCACCACCATCATCGATATCTTCATCACCCGCGCCTCTTGAGATGTCAACACCAAACAGCCTCACGACCTTCGCTGCATCCCCCCCTCTCGCCGGCCCGTCGGCACCCCCGTCGGACACTCGACGTACAGCTTCCTCTCAGCACGCCGACATCCCTGTCCCTTCAGGAAAACCTCACCGTGTCCCGGCCACCAGCCCCTTCTGTCCTTCACGAACCTGCTCCACCCTTTGGTCAGCCACGTAGCTCTGCGCCTGCTGTTCAGTAGGAGTACCTGCAAACCTCCACGCCTTCCCGCTCCCCGGCGTCCTCAAAGCTCACCAGCGCGCTCTCCCGCCCTCCGCTCCCGGCAGCGCCGGCAGGTGCCTCTCCGCGTGCTGCTTCGGTATCACCAGCCTGTTCTAGCTTCCCCACGTCGCTCGGCACGTAACGTCTTGTCGAACAGGATGCTCCTGCTTAGCGCTAGCGCTACGCCGCCGCCGCCGCCGTCGTCGGTCTGCAGCGGCCGCACTATCATCTCTGCTTGCTGTCGGCTGCTGAATGCGAGCGCTGCCCTGGCGGAGCCTCGTCGGCGTAGGTGTGTTTCCTGAGACAATGTCGACGACCTCGCTTTGAGATGACGCGGCCAGGCAACTCGAGCTCGGCGGCGTTCGGAGGGGTTGGACGCTGGAAGGGGCTTGAAGTTGGCATGCGGCGCGTCGTGGCGCGCCGGAACGCTGGCGGCGACGTCTGCTAGGAGGCGGGCGGCGTGCTGCTGCTGCGAGTCGAGGTGCGAGCCAGCACGCGCTGGTGCTTCTCGCTAGATCTGGGCGCTCCCAGCGGGCCGCTTTGGGCCTGGGGGACGACCCCCTTGTACTGGGAGGAGGGGAGCTTCCTTGATTCGGCCTCCGGCGCGTCGAGTCTCGGGTCGAGGACGACGCCTGGAGCCCGCCCGCATGCCCATGCGCTGCAGCTGGGGCGGCTGGTGCCAGGGGGTCTTCACCGCCGCCGCTGCTGCTGTCCATGGTGTTGATAGTGGTGATGGTGGTGGTGGAGTAGTAATATGAACGAATGGGGTCGGTAGGGAGAGAGAGAGAGAGAGAGAGAGAGAGAGAGAGAGAGAGAGAGGGTAGAGAGAGACGTGGAGGGGTTGGGAAGCTTGTGGAGGGATATAAATAAGGAGGGGGTTTGGATTCTTTTTTGCTGTGTTTCTACGGTAAAGAGTTCTTCTATATACTATTGGCAGTGGATCAATCCAATTTGTATAGATTAATTAGGGGATATGAGTACCAACTAGATAATTAACTATTATAATTAAAAGCATTGATCTGTCTACTACTTGTGTTGGAGAGGGTCTACGTTGTTAATTAGTACCTATTTTGGTCCAAAAGAAAGCTGAAAACGCAACGCCGCATTTTCTGTTCGAAACAAGAATCTATCAAATTTGTTTGTTTCGCCCAAATTTTTTTAGAAATGGTTTCCAAAAACATCATCATATCACATTTTCAAGGAAATCCAATTCTTCATATTTTGTGTGGAAGTGGGTGGAAACCGCATATTTTTATTACCCCTATAAATTATTGGAAACCATGTTTTTCCAAGAAAAAAGCCATTTCCTAAAGAGGTGAATTCATATTCTTAGTTCCAAAACAACTATTAAACTGTTGTGAATAGGATTCCACCAACCTTATCCATGTGAAATAAGCAAAAATTAAGGTTTTCAAAATTGGTCTAGGAACATAAAGAATTTTTTTCTTGGGCATCAGAAAATGTTTTCTATATTAACGGGAAATGAAACAAACATGCATATGAGAAATTACTTTATTGTCATGTTTTTCAGGAAAGCTTCCCTAAATAATAAGTTGAATAAAGATTTTTTTTGTGTGAATGTTAATGAAACTATTAGTTTTATATATATTGAACTTTTATTTTTCATACATCTAGATAGAACATTTGGACGCATATCTACATTTCAGAATTCACAAATGACGAATCTTAAATTTCTTTAGTTGAATTATCAAACTTGGATGAGGACTTTGAGAAAAAAAATTAAAATTCTAGATTTGAAATAACAGAATAAGAAATTAAAAAAAAGCTCAATGATATTCGTTTCTTCCCTTTCTTTATGTGATAGGGCCGGAATTAATTAGAAAGAGGATTAATAAAAATGGAAAACCTAAACTCAAGTACATGAATAAAATCCATTACGAAGCTAATGATTTCATAAAAGATCATAGATATGAAAGTTGTATTTAACTTAGTTTTTTGAAAATTTTATATTGATTACAGAAAATTTATTACTTTTAGTTTGAAATAAATTTAACACTGCATGATTCTTACTTGTTCTTTATTTTAATTGGAAACAAATCACAATTGTATATCTTACTTATACTGAAAAACTAAAATCTGTATATATCTAAAGGGTTTGACGTTTATAAGGTGACAGATTATTTAGAAAAAAAATATCAAGAAATAGAAGTGTGTGATTCACACTTGATGTGACTTATAAGATAAGTCTTATCATATGGTTATTTCTTGATAATTTATTTAGTAAAATGAATCGTCATCTCATACTTACTATTTTCTTCATTTTAGTTTGAAACAAATCACAATTGCATGTATTACATAATAAACAAATCACAATTGCATATATTACATAATAAGCTAGTATTGCTGAAAAACTGAAATTTTTATTGTTTTATCTAAAGGATTTGACGTACAATTGTAAGGTAACAGATTATTTAACAAAATGTCATTTTGTACTGGCCAGATCATGAATTAGTAATTGCATCCAATCTCCGAAAAAGTCCCAATTGTTTCAAACTTTCTATTTTTTGAATGGGATATTAAATTATCAAGAAATACAAATATGAGATTTACACTTGATGTGACGTTTATACAATTAGTCTTATCATATGATTATTTCTTGATAATTTATTTAATAAAATGAACCGTCATCTCATATATCTACTATTTTCTTATTTGAACTATGACAATGTTGTTATTTATTGAGATTGTCAACCAAGAGGAAGATTCAACGTGGGAAGAGAAATCAGAGATTATGGTTTTCTAGGGGAGAAGGAGCTGAGCAATTGGGTATGGAAGTGGGGCCCAAAGTGAGGGCGTTCACATGAGTGTGGAGCCCATTTCTTAGTAAGTGCATCCCCCCGAACTTCTGCTGCAGCTGCTCAACGCTGACACTGCTGAGCATCATATATATATTGGATTTGGCTTATGATCTCTCTATGATGTTTTCTATTTTCTATGGTTTTTCTCATTTATATTTCAGGTTCCTATAATGTTATAGGATATGGGAGATGTGGGAGGAGGATATGGATAGATATTATGACCCATGTTGATACAACCTGACCAACTGTGAGAGGATTCTGCATGTGTGTGTGTGTGATTGTGATTGTAGGGTTTCAAATTGACAGAGTTATTACGTACATACCTGTGCTTCAGAAAATAATTCTTTTTTTTTGCACATTTGGGCATGTGTATTGATTTTTCGCTTGCCTCTTCATCAAATTTTAAAAGCTTTGCATTTACCTTTGTTTGGCAACAATTAAAGTGAAGGATTGCTAGGAAAAGTTAACTTCTCCTTAAGGGCCCGTTTGTTTCATTTTTTTTGAAGGAGAAAGTTAGAGGAAAGCTGCCAAATCTGACAAAAACTGTCAGTTTTGGCAGGCTTTCTTGCAAAAACGCCTTTTTTAGAGGCGTTTTTGCAAGAAAACCGGCCAAAACTGACAGTTTTTGTCAGATTTGGCAGGCTTTCCCCTTCCCATTTTTGCAAACAAACAGCCCCCAAAAACGCCTTTTTTAGAGGCGTTTTTGCAAGAAAGCCTGCCAAAACTGACAGTTTTTGTCAGATTTGGCAAGCTTTCCCCTTCCCATTTTTGCAAACAAACAGCCCCTAATTAAACTGTCAAACACAATCAATTCACACATGGTGTAAATTGAGAGCTAGCCCTTCTTACCTTGTTAAACATAAAAATTGGAGGACCGGTAAGATAACCTTTCTAACTGGTTAAATGAGTTAACCCTCAAATTGAGGAGGTTTACAAATCCACCTCCCTGAACATTAATTAAGAATTTAACCCCTTTATTTATATGGGAAGTCGTTATAATTCTCACTTTCTTAACTCTACTAATTAAAAGATCATAAGGGGCTGTTTGGTTCGCTATTATAAGGGGTGAAAAACTCAGAAAACCCCTCCACGTCAGATTTTTAGCCCTCCACATCAGCTTTTTTGTTTCCGTCCATTTCTTTGTGCCGCTTTGGTTCGCTCAAATAGAAGAGGGAAAACTCTGCTGAAATCGCCGCCAACTAAGATTTTTTTCCCTCTCCGATTTCCTTCCCCAACCAAGTGAAATTGATGAAAACTCTGCCACGTTAATTTTTTTTCCTTCTCTGCTTTGTTTACAAAAGTTTTTCTTTTTTTTCTATGCGAACCAAACACAAGAAAAATAAATACATTGGTTTCCCACTATTTTTTATGTGCGAACCAAAGCAAAACAATCTATTTCTTGGAAAAGTTTGGAAAACTCAAAACTTGTGTTTCTTTACATGGAATAGCATTTCTCTATATCAAGGAAACGAACCAAACAGCCCCTAATAATTAAAATAAATCTTACCTACCCGATTAACCAATGTAATCCTTTAAAGTAAGAAATGGACTCACTAGGTAAATTATTGAGCTAAATCTCTTACTTCGACCTTTTTTGCCGAACATGGCCTCGTGGGAATTGTTATATGCCTAGTGTTAGATTTACGCGAGATGTAACATTTACACTTTCTAATACATAAATATATTTGTACAATATTCTCACTTTGGCACCGTGTGAATATACTTTTTCAATCATAATCATCTATAACTTGACAGTTACTATTCCTTCCTAATGTATATAAAAATCATGCTTCTCTTGAATCATACTAGTTTCAACTTTTCATTGTGGAAAACTATACCCGTCTACTAATTAAATGATAGCTAGTAAATCACCAATAAATAATAGATAGTTTTCGTAAAAATTGAATTTATTGTACTTATTATGACAAACCCATAATCTAATTAGAAGCGGACAATTATTATTATTAATCTCTCTACTGCTATTTATTTACAATAAAGAATATTTGAGCTTGTCCCCTAAAAAACATATCACGTAAGGAAAATGATAGGGGCACACCCCCAACCACCACTCCAATCACACACTCTCTCTCATTTGCTACAGTACACCGAGCCCCACATGAGATTTTAAAAATTTAAAATCCCATGTGGGGCGCGGTGCACTGTACGCAAATGAGAGAGAGGATATGGTTGGAGTTGTGGTTGAGGGTGTGCCCCTAGTGCCACTCATCACATAAATCCTCAAAGTCCTCATATTTTTCCTTGCAAATTCCTTGATTTGAAAGGTAAATGATGTGAAAGCGCACATGAGGACACTCATGCACGCACAAGACCAAGCCATCGTAAATGACATATAGGACCAACTAACTATTCAAGGTAATATATAGTGAGCATATGGAGCTCCGCGTTAATTGGCCCCATACACCATGATACCAACACAAAAGAGCATGGGACAGTAGTCCTAACGTCCTGTGCTGATCCAATCCCCACATATTAACAACAAGATGATCTGGGCAAGGGATAATAATATAAAGATATGGAGGATGTTATGGGAGTGAATGAAATTATGAGGTTAAGTTTATTCCAGGCTAATCCAGCTTTTTGACTATTTTGGCAGTAGTAGGAACAGGAATGGGCTAGAAGACAACGACCTGTATATTCGTTGGTTTTAGAAATCATGGGCCTGTCCTCTGCGCTAGGTTCACATTGAAATGTCATTGTCCGTGTGCTATTTGATTCAAAAACAGTGTTGCGTGCGTCCTCCATGAACTGGATCAAATCTGTCGATTATTGGCTTAGACGCATGAGATGCCGGTTGGGAGTAATAAACATTGGCTAGTTTTCTACAATCTAAGGCCAATAAACCTTATAAAATTAAGATTTGTATGTATCGTCCCCAC